ATAAGTGTCAATTAACAACTGTACGCTCACTTGGTTTCGCTTTACATTACCTCGTTTGAACTGTGAAGCTGTTAAAAAAAACACCATTGATTCACACCGAAAATCAATTAAAAACAAAATGTAACAAATAATGACCAAAGCTACATCTGGCAGTTTGCGCTGTATTTCTGTCACGTAGTGTTTAAGCGATATTTTTTAACATTTTCATAAAGCGGGAGGTTTGGCATGCCATGAAACCAGGATCAACCCACCATTTTTTCTTAAAATGTCCTGTACCAAGTCAGGAATATAGCAGTTGTTAACAAAAATGTTCGTTTCTATGTGTGTTTGCGTTTGTTTTTGTTGCACATCGGTATTCCTGTTGTTCATTTGTTTTCCTCTTATAGTTGATGTGTTTTACTTGGTTTTAGTTTGTAACCCGGATTTGTTTTCTCTCAATCGATTTATGACTTTTGAACACCGGTATACTACTGTTGCCTTTATTTATTGTGTAACTACAACTTAATCGGAGAATAATCTCTTTCAAACGAACGACTGTTTTGTTGATTGCATAATCTTTTGTCTATTTTGTAAACACTATCACTAACCTGATCTTTATTAGTTTATATTTTGCTAAAAAATTAAGACATAATAAATGAAATTTTAATATTTTAGGAACATATTTACAAATACAAAACTTTTTTAAACACAAATATGTATATTGATAGATAGTTAGATTTCACATATGAATTAAATACTACCGAAGGTATAGATTAAAGTTTACTCACTATTGACACTAGTACATAGGAAAAATTGCAACATATGTTTTCATATGTTTAACATATGTTTTTCATATGTTTGAAAACATATGTAAACATATGTTTAGGCCCGACATGAAAACATATGTTTTCGAACATATGAAAAACATATGGAAAACATATGAAAAACATATGTTTTTAAAATCATATGAAAAACATATGTTTTTCATACATGTAAACCTGAGACTACTATAACACAGAGATTGGTCACTTCCCGTACTGACCAGTCAAATAGTAATTAATTGTAAGTCTTCGATCACATGACTCGGCACGTGACTCGCAATGATTGACAAGAAGGATTCGACCGCCATTTTTGACAGCGAAAGAGAAAATAATAATTAACAAATGTGGATTTATAAAGAGTGTTATGTTCCGGTAAGTGTGAATATAAGATTTGACATGTTCATAAATGTTGGTTTATAAGCACTTTAAATAAAATAAGTGCAGTTATAGACTTGAATTTACCGACCAAACCGGAAAGTAACCTCGAGTTATTACCAGTCCGTGGGACAGGGTCAATGAGCAACTCACCCATAACTTACATTCAGATGAACAATCTGTTTTCCGGATAATGTATGTGCAAGCCTTAGTAATTAACCGATGTAATGATGTAAAATTTGTAATTATATGAAATTCCAATTTTTCTGTATCAGTAAGTTCCCGCTGCAGAACTGAGAAACACACGAGACAAGTTGCACACACACAACATGAGGTCTGATAGGTGAATTTGTATTGTTAGTGAAAGAAATTTAGATTTATATTTGGTTCCCTTGATAATATATATGCAGTCTATACATGCTAGTATAATAATATTATGCAATAAAAATGTGTCACCATGTGAAATACCAGTACATCATAAGTTCCAAAATAGATGTATTTTTTTTAAATAATTGACCCAAACATGATGTAAAAAGTACATGCACCTTTGGTCTGCATCCTTTATCAGTTTAACTATTTTGATCCACATTGACATGATTGGTCAATTACTGCTGAGTCTCAAGTCTCAGATTACTGTCTTAAAAATTAATGAATTGCCTATGCTATAAACTTGACAAAGATTATTTCTTTTTATTTATAATATATTTTTTATTGTAGGAATACCCCCAGAAAGAAATCACGCATTAGAAGAAGGGAGAAGTACTACAGGGGAAAATGACTTTTTTTAGTATTTTTTTTAATTTCATTGAATTTGTCATGCTTGTCTTACATGGAGAAATAAATATTTAAGTCTTTGAATATACATTTTTATTATTATATACATTAAAACTAAGACAGGAATGCAGAAATTCACTAACACGCTCAGTTTGGATAACAGTTCAATGAAAGAAAAAAAAACAAGTAACCACATATCTTTATATATTAAAGGAATAGCCACTTGAAGCAAACTTTATGGAGATTTTTATATATTTTTGCTAATGATCATCAGACAACTCCTTTAGTCCAAATGAAGTTCAATGAAGTGGATGTAAGTTATTGGAATGCACAGTAATTACCTTCAACAATGAGAAAACCTATACCGTGCAGTTAGCTTCAAAAGTCCCTGACATGGAAAATATATAACAATTCACTAGAGAAAACGAAGTGTCTACAATAACAAAGCAATTTACGAAAATTCAAATATGACAGACATGAACCAACAGCAACCACTGAATTACAGGCTCCTGACTTGAGACGGGCACATAAAGAAGTGACAATGTTAAATATTTTTAGGCGCTCATCACCACCACTAGCATGGGACATTGGTGTAACGACATAACATAAAAACAAACTTTAAACATAATTTGAAAATAGTTCATTTCGGTTTAATCAGGCTGACTGTACATGAAATATTTGCCATTGACAAGCAGTTGTGAATCGAAGTTGAATTTACAGAAAGGTGACATCAATATATGCTATCATATTTAACATTTTTGTTTAGATCTGACATTGCTACATATTTATACATTCCGCATTATTTTTGGCTTCTCAGAATTTTCACATGGTAAACCGTCAGCAGTTACCCAACAAAAAAATGTTATGGGGAACCTTTTTACAAAGCATCATGCCGACAACAATTAACATGGTTTGTCACCAAACATTGAACAAGCACATTTATATTTGCTGTGGCTATAAAAAACTAAAGCAAATCACAACTCTTTTCATCTGAGTTGCTCAATTATTAGGGTTACAAAAAGCATAGCGATATAACTAAAACATACGACACTTTAACAATAGACAATATTCAAATTTTCAAAAACTTTACGGCTCTGTATTGAAGCACAAAATTTCTTGTCTGGGATTTTGAAAGAGGGCACATATTTCTGGTGTTGAAAAAATGTCATCGTAATTTACACTAATGTGGTTCTATTTATGTTAACATAGAGATAATTTGATTATTCAGTCACATAATTTTGAAGCTTCTTCGTTCTGATTTACATGTACTTGCGGTTGATGCTTCTTTTGGAGTTTTTGTAGTTTTTGCAGTCTTTGCAGCAGGGACGTATAGTCATCCTCAGATTCAATATCTGATGCAGTATATTCACCACGTAAAAGATCAAGATTGAGATCACTATCATCCCAAGATAAAAAATCAATGTTACTGGACATTGTGAATTGAAAAATGAAAATGCCGGCGATATTTTGGGAACATATATATAATTTGTAGGGCTTATGTTTGCTTTATGTATCCATTGAAGTTATAATCTCTTTGCTGATCTGTTACGTAAGGAAATTACTCATTTATCTTTAATGAAATTTTTTCTCTCTTCTGTGATCGCCGCTTATTACATTGTTTGCAAAAAATTGACCTAATTATCAGACGGAAATTTAAAAAAAGTGGGGGGGGGGGGGGGGGGGGGGGGGGGGGTTGAAACTTGTTTGAAAAAAAAATTTACGTTGGATTTTTCTCTATTCTTTAAATCTTAATAACTTATTATTTTCTCTTCTCTATTCTTTATTTGTCGGTCCATTTTTCTACATTCTATACTTTTTTTGCCCCTATTTCTCCATTCTATAAAACCCCATCCACACCCTCCTGAATCCTACCACAAGTGCACCGACGATATTTGACAAGGTTTACTACAATAAACATGTATATTGGGCACTCAGCAGTGAAATACCTTACAAGTATAGAATAAAAGTTAACTGCAATAAACGGGGCCTCGTGTACCTTGGGCACCCAGCTGTGAAACAAAATTCATCTCCCATGCTTTTGAGACTACCTGTCTTTACAGGTAAAATATTTGTATATTAGATACAATTAACGGACGTGTAGCAAAACAATGTAACTGTAAGATTGATAAGATTAATCACATTCACATTTTCAAGAGTGGCCGCATAATAACAAACTATTAACAAATTATTAATGATTAAAAACAAAAATTTAAATATGAATAGAGATAACTGCATTTGAAAGATAAAAACTATATTCTTTTTTTTTTTTTATTAATTCAATTTTGTTTTTAAATTATTTTTAAAAGAAAAATAATAATATCCGATACTGTTATAGTATTCTCAGTGATAGGTGATATATGTCGTCTGCTACGGTCGAATACGAAACTACATTAAAATAACGTAGCTAACTACCGGAGACTCAGATAATCCGATAAATCTATAGTGACCAATCTCTGTGTTATAGTAGTCTCAGATGTAAACATATGAAAAACATATGTTTTTCATGTTTTTTACAAACATATGTTTTTCATATGTTTTCATACCTGGCCTAAACATATGTTTTCATATGTTTGTCCTAAACATATGTTTTCATATGTTTGGCCCAAACATATGTTTTCATATGATTTTATCTTGGTCCTAAATATATATTTTTTTAATATGTTTTTAATTGTTCAAATGCATTTATTTTCTCATAGATTCTAAACATGGTTTGTATATATATGTATTTTTTTTTTGCGATAGGTTTTTAAGGGTAACGTTTTGATGTTTTGTAATATGTTTTTCTTTAATTTGTTATCTTTTTTTTTCTGTCAGGAACTTATTTTGAGTGTAAATACTTCATTGTGATGAGTTGTTGCTTTGAAAAGTAAAAAACCCAAAATACCAAATTCCACAGAAAATACATGGCATAATCAAAAGCTCAAACAAATAAAAAACAATAAGTGCTCCATAATTTTTATATCAAGTAGAATTTTTTTTTTATTAAGTTGTTGTCTCTTCTATTTTCACATTTTTGTCTCCTTGACATACATTGTACCACATTTCTATTGTCTATATTCTTTTTTCATTTGTTTGTCTCTTCGACATACACCATTTCTAGTATTGTCTATATTCTATTTTCATATGACTTTGTGTGTCTCTTTGACATACCCCATTTCTATTGTCTATATTCTATTTTCATGTTTGTCTCTTTGACATACCCCAATTTTATTGTCTATATTCTATTTTCATATGTGTGTCTCTTTGACATACCCCATTTCTATTGTCTATATTCTATTTTCATATTTTTGTCTCTTTGACATACTCCATTTCTATTGTCTATATTCTATTTTCATATTTTTGTCTCTTTGACATGTACTCCATTTCTATTGTCTATATTCTATTTTCATATTTTTGTCTCTTTGACATACTCCATTTCTATTGTCTATATTCTATTTTCCTATGATGTATGTGATATTTCTATTGCTATATCACCATACACAGATATTTAATTGTCTTCACTGCTGGCTATTACTGGTGCATGTGTATGCAGCTGCTTTTTGTAAATATCCTGTATGATTAAGAAAGACAACTAGATTGACTTTGAGTTCAATATTGTATTAATCTAAAATTAATGTTCTTTGGTTCTGTTTCTTTACTTTTCAGTTCCTGCAAGTAGAAATAAAAGAACAGAGTTTCAATGTCCACCTAGTCGTACATTTTTAGCTCACCTGACCCGAAGTCTTTCTTAGACTTGGCGTCTGTTGTCGTCCGTCGTCGTCGTTAACTTTTTACATTTTTAACTTCTTCTAGAGAACCACTGAATGGAATGGAACCAAATATGGCATCAATGTTCCTCATGAGGTGCTGACCAAGTGTTTTTACTTTGTAGCCGATCCATCATCCAAGATGGCCGCCAGCGGGGGGACTTAGTTTAACATAGGAACCTATGGGAAATACATACAAATGTCTTTTTTTAGAGAACCACTGAATGGAATGAAACCAAACATAGCATGAATGTTCCTTATGAGGTGCTGACCAAGTGTTGTTACTTTGTAGCCGATCCATCATCCAAGATGGCCACCAGCTGGGGGCTTAGTTTAACAAAGGACCCTATGGGAAATACATACAAATGTCTTCTTTTAGAGAACCACTGAATGGAATGAAAGCAAACATAGCAATATTAAACCAAATTTGGCCTCAAACATTATTATAAGTATCTGTTATGATTTTTATCTTTTTTTATATGATTTCAAAAACCCAAGTAGAGTCAGGTGAGCGACACAGGCTCTTGAGAGCCTCTAGTTTATCTATCAAGGAGCAATATTAACATGATTAAAAAAAAACAACATGTTTTTTTGTTCTCAAAAATATTTATAAATAAAAAATGTGCTTGGGGAAAAAAAAAAGTTGTTTTTCTTGTATACTAAATATTTCAAACTGACCTTCAAGGGCATTACTATAATAGTATACTATAAGTTTAATAAAAAAAATTGAGAGCAATTACGAGGCCATTTTCCATAAATTTAATATTTCCAAGAGGCATAACTCTTGAAAAAATTCAATCGGCCATCATTACAACTGCCAGTTGGACATCTACACCTTACAATAATTCCATACACCAAATATAGTAAGTATAACTTATTGCTTATAATACCTGAGATATTGACTGACAGAGTAGACAGACACTAGCTATAGGACCTTGCAAGGTACCCACATACTAAGTAAATAGAAATATCCTATTACCATGATTACTATAAATAATATTAATAAGAGAGAAATTAACATTACAAAAAAACTTTAACCACAGACTGAACCTAAAGTTTAGGACAGCGACGCCGCCCCTGGCAGAATCTAGGATCACTGTCTCACTTTCGTGAAATAAATTTGCAAGCTTGACAAAAAGCAGAACATGTATTTCAGAAATAGAAATTCTATGCAATTATTAATACTTATATGCTGTTATGGTCCTACATATTCTTGTGTGTTCAATATTTTGGCATTACACAAAGTCATACTTTCTTAGACTGTTTGAAATGACAAATGTTTTGTTGTTACATTAATTGATTAAATCTGTCGAAGGTGAATTGGTTGATATTTTAGTTTGGGAAAACATAATTTTTGCATCTTTTATTATTTTGTTATTTCTTTTTAAGTGCTTGTTGATGAGTCCAGCCCTTTCTGGCTGATTTTGACATTTGTTTCTTATGTTGGGTGTTGTCTGCCATACTGTGTGTAGTTTTATTTTTTTCATTGGTTCACATTTTTTCATCCTTATACAAGTTATAGCCATAATAGGTTACTTTATGGTATGGATTTTGATCATTGTTTATGGCTGTACAGTGACCAGGAAATGTTTACATCTTCGTCCTTTGGTTTTTTAATTGATAGTTGTCATATTGAGAATCATACATGTACCTCATCTCCTCATACATGTTAAACATGTTATATCTATATGCTGGTTCATAAAAAATCTTAAAAGGAAATTATTCAATTGTTATATGTTTGAAAACTCTTTCTTATAATGCAAAAACAATAATTGATTGACTTTTCTAGCTTAATAATTTTTATTTAAGATTCAGTGGCAAATATTTTATGTATATTCAAGACGAGAACAACTTTTAAATATGAACAATTCATATGATAATATAAGCAAATGCTATAATTATTTTAACTTCTGACATCTTATGCGTGTGTGTGTGTGGAGCAGAAGGATTCCTTGATAAAATTGAGAATGGAAATGGGGAATGTGTCAAAGAGACAACAACCCGACCATAGAGTAGACAACAGCCGAAGGCCACCAAATTGATGCATACTTGACATCAGAAAGACATAAATAAACAACAAGTATACATGGTATACATGCTTTAACATGTACAATTACACTTGAAAAAGTTTTAAATAGATAACATTAAATTTTTTAAATTAACTGCAATTCTACAGATGAACTTACTTTGATACCAGTTCTTTTTGCCTGACATCCGCACCTACATGTACACCAGTGATTCTAATACTGTACTTTCCTTTCATTTGGTAACCATGGTAACAAGCTGAAATTGTAAATCTTAATTCAATCCAGAAGTCCAGACAAAAACAAGATCATTTTTGTAGACGTAGTATAAACTGATGCTCACTTATTTATATTTCTACATTTGAGTGAATGGAAACAAATATGTAACAAACAACAAAAAGATCAACAGTGTAACTAATATTAATAATATACCGGTATGTATAGGCTAAGCCCGTCTTAGTATAGTATGAACTTTTTCTAATATAAGATGATATATTCTGCTGTCTACAGTTTAAAATAAAATGCTCCCCAGGGCGCAGCTTGATACGACCGCAGAGGTCGAACCCCAAACAGATGGGGCAAGTATTGACACAATATTCAAGCTTGATACAGCTCTGAATTGGGTTTGTGATTAAATATTTGACACAGCATACATCAGTTGTACATGGCATAAGTTTCTGACACAGAATGAATGTGGTCTAAGAACTTTAAAAAATTTTAAATTAGACATTTACCTATTATGGTCCAATATCCTAAATCTAAATATATGGTTAGATTCAGCATATAAAAGAACCCCCAAGAATTCAATTTTTTTATGAAATCAAACAAAGTTTAATTATGGACCCTTTTGACCTCAATGTGGACCAATTTAATAACGGATCCCAAAATCCAAAATCTTAATACATGGTTAGATTCAGCATATCAAAGAACCCCATATATTCAATTTTTGTTAAACTCAAACAAAGTTTTATATTGGACCCTTTGGACCTTAATGTAGACAAATTTGAAAACGGGACCAAAAATTAAAAATCTAAATACATGGTTAGATTCGGCATATCAAAGAACCCAAATAATTCAATGTTTGATAAAATCAACAAAAGTTTAATTTTGGACCCTTTGGACCTCAATGAGGACCAATTTAAAAACGGGCACAAAATTCAAAAACTTAGTACACTGTTAGATTCAGCATATCAAAGAACCCCATATATTCAATTTTTGTTAAACTCAAAACAAAGTTAAATTTTGCACTCGATTTGGACCAACTTGAAAACTGGGCCCAAAATCAAAAATCTAAATACATGTTTAGATTCAGCATATCAAAGAACCCCAAGAATTCAATTTTTGTTAAAATCAAACTAGGTTTAATTTTGGACCCTTTGGACCTTAATGTAGACCAATTTGAAAACGGGACCAAAAATTAAAAATCTAAATACACGGTTAGATTCGGCATATCAAAGAACCCCAATAATTCAATTTTTGATGAAATCAAACAAAGTTTAATTTTGGACCCTATGGACTTCAATGTGGACCAATTTAAAAACAGGGCCCAAAATCCAAAAACTTAATACATGGTTAGATTCAGCATATTAAAGAACCCCAAGAATTCAAGAATAAAACCCAGTGAAATTGGTCAAGAAATAAGCAATTTATACAAAGTATTAGAAAAGTATTGTTTAATATAGGCCCCCAATTCCTAAACAGTTAGGGTCATAACCCCCAAATTCAATTCCAACCTTCTTTTTTAGCTCACCTGGCCCAAAAGGGCCAAGTGAGCTTTTCTCATCACTTGGCGTCTGTTGTCCATAAACTTTTACAAAAAATCTTCTCCTCTGAAACTACTGGGCCAAATTTGACCAAACTTGGCCACAATCATCATTAGGGTATCTAGTTTAAAAATGTGTCCGATGACCCCGCTAACCAACCAAGATGGCCGCCATGGCTAAAAATAGAACATGGGGGTAAAATGTAGATTTTGGCTTATATCTCTGAAACCAAAGCATTTAGAGTAAATCTGACATGGGGTTAAACTGATTATTAGGTCAAGATCTATCTGCCCTGAAACTTTCAGACAAATCTGACAACCTGTTGTTGGGTTGCTGCCCCTGAATTGGTAATTTTAAGCAAATTTTGCAGTTTTTGGATATTATCTTGAATATTATTATAGATAGAGATAAACTGTAAACAGCAATAATGTTCAGCAAAGTCATGAAAGTAAGATCTACAAATAAGTCGTACATTGTATGACCAAAATTGTCAGTCGACCCCTTTAGGAGTTATTGCCCTTTATAGTCAATTTTTCGTAAATTTTTGTATTCTTTTACAAAAATCTTCTTCTCTGAAACTACTGAGACAAATTTTACCAAACTTGGCCATAATCATTATTAGGGTATCTAGTTTAAAAAATGTGTCCGATGACCCCGCCTTCCAACCATCATGGCCGACTTGGTTAAAAATAGAACATAGGGGTAAAATGCAGTTTTTGGTTTATAACTCTGGAACTAAAGCATTTAGAGCAAATCTGACAGGGGCAAAAATGTTCACCAGATTTAGATTTATCTGCCCTGAAATTTTCAGAAAAATCCGACAATCAGTTGTTGGGTTGCTGCCCCTGAGTTAGTAATTTTACAGAAATTTTGCAGTTTTTTATTATTATCTTAGATATCATTATAATATCTAATATCTTATACTATTAATTATGATTTTAACCTTATTTTACATGATTTCCAAAGCATCAGTAAATACAGGTGAGCGACACAGGCTCTTGAGAGCCTCTAGTTTGGTATGGAACCTTGTGGTACAATTTCAGAAAGATCCATACACTTACACACAAGTTATATTGTCTGGAAACTAGTAAAATGCTTATTTTGACCCCTTTTTAGGCACTTAATTCCTAAACTGTTGGGACCATAACCCCCAAAATCAATTCCAACCTTCCTTTTGTGGTTTCAAACCTTGTGTTTAAATTTCATAGAGATCCATTCACTGAAACCAAAGTTATTGTCCGGAAACTAAGTGTCTTCCGACGACGCGGACAACAACGACGACGTGATACCAATATACGACTGCAAATTTTTTTTGCAGTCGTATAAAAAACAACATAAAGGCCTTAACTCTTGATGTTTAGTAAATCTTGATTTCCTGTTAAATAGGCAAAATTGTTTAAATACACCATTTATAGGCATGTTGTGGAATCTCAATAAATACTTATGATTGCATGTTCGTTTAATCGTCGTTGTAGCTATGAAATCTATACAATAACGTCATTCACTACAACGTTAGGGTTACAACATTACCATAGTTCAATGTTAGTACTTAGCGTATACTTTTTTACGACAAGGAAATTTTAACTCATGAACACAATATGTTGTCATTTGTGTTACCATCCATACTTAATCGATTTAATAAAAGAACAGCTTTTCAATGTACCTCGCCAATTGATGGATATACATGTATAAAATTTGCTATCAAAAAGCAAAAAATATGTATGTTCTTTTAACCTTTTTCATAAATTATAAATAATCTAAAAGAAATGAAGACGTGTGTGGGATTGCTTGCAATGCAATTTTTCTTACAATATCTATTTCCAAGAGGCATAACTCCTGTAAACATATTTGATCAGCACTTATTTTCTAACTCATAAAAGCCTATGCTGATATAGACCTACATGTATGGTATGAATTACAAAAATATCTGACAAAAAAATGTAACCATAACAGTGCTTTACTGGTTATCTTCGATATAATTTATATTTCAAAGTGAAGTAATTCCTGTATAAATAATTTATCCAAGACATTACTGGTATATATAATAAACCTTTGGTATACATAAATATTATTGGAAGTTTCGGTCCTCAGTGCTCTTCAGCTTTGTACTTGTTTTGGCTTTCAAACTTTTTTCATCAGAGCGTCACTGGTTGGTCTTGTGTGGACGAGACGCACGTCTGGCGTATTGAATTTTAAGCCTAGTACCTTTTGTTAGCTATTATTCGTGTGGTTCTTTGTCCTATATGTTCTCCCATTTATTTGTATTGTGGTCCTGTCATGTGATGTTGTCGTTTTGGTGTTGTGTTTGACGTTGCCATAAAAGCGGGAGGTTTGGCATGCCACAAAACCAGGTTCAACCCACCATTTTTTTCTTAAAATGTCCTGTACCAAATCAGGAAAATGGCCATTGTTATATTATAGTTCGTTTCTGTGTGTGTTACATTTTAATGTTGTGTTTTTGTTGTGTCGTTGTTCTCCTCTTATATTTGATGCGTTTCCCTCAGTTTTAGTTTGTAACCCGGATTTGTTTTTATCTCTATCGATTTATGAGTTTCGAACAGCGGTATACTACTGTTGCCTTTATTTTACATGAATAAACAAAATATTTAAACAAAGTTATCCTTTTCATTACATACCTCTCATCACAAAATAATTATTGCCTGCTGCTCCTTATATGCACATAAATCAATATGACAATCTATGAACCCATTATATAATCTAGAAAGCAATGCCTCAAATGAATTCTGTTCTGTTGCTTAGATTCTTCTACTTCTTGAAGTACAAAATGTACTTTCATTGAAAATGCTAAAAGAAATAATGTATGACATGTACAAATGTATAATAAAATGAAGTTACAATATTAATATATCTGCCAAATTTATTGCCTTAAAATTTTTTATATGACAAAATTGGCTTATTTTGATCTTTGAAAACAAGAACAACAGATCTACAAGTAGACTTGCCATGAAAAAAAAATTAACTATGTAAAAAGTATTAAATTATTTGAATGTTCTAATCCATCTTACAATGTATGTTTATTAAATTCATATGACCATTGTATGAAGTGATGAATCAAAGTGGTTAAATCTGCTTTGCACAGATCTCATGTCAGATGAGTTAAGCCTTTTCACACCACTATCCCATGTTAGGGAGCTACCATTTGATTTAGGGGGGGGGGGGCGTAGGATGAAAAAGTTTGTCCTGCATTTCCAGTTTTCCACTCAATTCAGTCCTGTCTTTTTTTATTTATAGTTTATCCTGACTTTTGTTTTACATCAATTGTCATCATGCCTTTTTTTTGGGGGCAAAGTGTCTCATCCTGCCTTTTTCCAAATTTCATCCTAGACCCCCCCCCCCCCCCCCCCCCCCCCGACACACACACACACATAAAAAACAAATTATAGCTCCCTTAAGGGGAAGGTTTGGCACCAATAAACTAGTCTGACTCCACCACATCCTGTATGTTCCTGTTCCAAGTCAGGAGCCTGTAATTCAGCGGTTCAAGTTGTCATTTGTTCACTTTGTTGCTGTATATCATATTTGTTTATTTGTTCCTTGTTTTGTTTATAAATCATTACATGTATCAGTCTGTTAGTTTCCTCATTTGCATTGTTTTACATTTGTCATTTTCATTAAATGTCTTTTATAGCTGACTTTGTGGTATGGGCTTTGCTCATTGTTGAAGTCATCTTGTACCATAACTTATTGTAGTTGTTAACTTCTATGTCATTTGATCTCTGGTGGAGAATTGGACTCTTCTCAATGGCAATCATACATGTACATGTACCACATCTTCTTATTTTTATATTCACATTAAAGTATATGTAAAGTAAACCATTCATGCACTCTAGGAGTCCACTTCTATAATGTACAAGGTGATAAGACCTGCTGCTGTAATAGCCTGGGTCATATTTTTCAGCTTAAAAATATGTGAATAGGTGTGGAAAACTATCAGAAGTATAATACATGTATGATAAGGCTGAGAATTACTAGATGTTTATTGTTATAGTACTCAGTAATAGTAGTCTCAGACTCAGGATAATTAGGCTTATTGTACAGTTTGTCATATGGAAAGCCCTGTAATTTTCTTAGTTGCAAGTCTTGTTTTGCCTTAAGTTAACATAACATAAGGAATTTGAGCCTCAGATTTGAGCTATAATCAAATGTGATGATTTTCTCGGTAATGCCAGAATGTGATTCTTGTCCGCTCCAGCATGTCCTGGAATCACTCATCATGCTCATAATTAAAATTTGGAAAAGGTTACATGTACATTATCATGATTATTACCTACTCAATGTATGAAAAGGTATATATACATTTTTTAAATGTAAATTAAATGAAAAGGGGGGAGTAATTGATCCCCAGGGACACCGGTACCCTTACCTATTAATTGTAAAATAGCTACTAATTGCTAAAGAGATTATAAAGTCTTCTGCACAGTGTCATGGTTTTAAAACAACTGATAAACAAATACAAATATCACACACCATAAGACACGATTATGCAGGTCTGCATCAGTTAAAGCAATTAAGTTCTGTAGTGTCATTAGATAAACAATTTCAATACATTACATCAAGTATATGATGCCCCCCCTTTCCAAGTTTGTCTTATTGTCAAAGGGTTTACAAATTATATGGTTATTTTGGATGTATTTGTGTCTTAATATTGTAACATTCTCATTCTGACATATAAATAGATAATGAAACGGATTACCCAATGCAATTATATTTATATTACAATATCGTTCTCAAACTCAGCCTCAGGTTTACAAGTATGTGAAATATCTAGTCAAATAGTTTTTCGTGAAAAATAAAGCACACACATCTTCCTGCTTTTATCCAACAATTAAACAAAATGTGCATAATAATATTTACCTTTCGTTGTGCTTTTAGGGTACGTAAAACTATCCATCAAAACAAAAACACTTTCGAAGTTTCGCTGTTTCGTTGCGTTGACTTGCTATAAATTTTCTATGTTTCGTTCCCCGGTTTCTTCCAGTTAATCGACAAGTCACCCATTTCAATTTATCTGTTTATAATAAATTTTGATTCACCAGTTTGAAAAACCAGAGTTCTTTGTATCATCTATCTCTGTCCATTCAAACTTTTTAAATGACAACAGCAGATCGCGTGAGCGTCCATGGATTTTGCGTCATAGTATAAAAAAACGGTAACGGTGAAATGATTTCCGGGTTTCCGTATTCGACGTACCATGCAAGCTTTCGTACATTTACGTATATATATATATGATGGTCTGGAATCAAGATTGGGGTTTAAGAATATAGAAAATAATGACAAAAAGTGCAAAATAAAGAACAAAAAAAATAAAGAACAGATACTAAAAGAAGCAGAAATATGGAATAAAGAATCATAGAGAATAATGGGATTATTGATAAAAAAAAATTAGAATTGAGTGCACTTTCCTGTTTGAGAAATACACAATATAGATAATGAATGAAAAAATGTATGTGATAATTAAATGACAAATTTTGACATTTTCTCAAAACATTTTTTTTTTAAATGCCCTTTAAAACATATGAAAACATATGAAAATCATATGTTTTTCATATGTTTACAAACATATGTAAACATATTTTTTAAAACATATGAAAACATATGTTTGCTTCCATATGTTTTCATATGTTTCAAAACATATGTAAACATATGTTCGTAAACATATGTTTTTCATATGTTTGGGACAAACATATGAAAAACATATGTTGCAATTTTTCCTGTGTACCTCACGTGTATTTACCTTGTTAAGTTGAAACTCTTAATCTCTTAATGCAGAAAGTCCGTTTTATATATTTTGATATTTTTTTGTCAATACCGCGAAATTTAATACACGCAAATTCATCTGCAATACTGATTTGGCAAAAATTAGTACACGCGAAAATAGTACATATACAGTATTTTTGATTGCGTTCGTCAACCTTCGAGGGGGGACTTCAATTATAACAGTCGGTATCATTAAACATTATTAATTAGTATTTGCTTTTGTGCAAACACTTTTAAGCAGTGTTAGGAGAAAAAAGACTTAAACTCTAGACAGCTTATGCAGTAGATTTATTTTGTATTTTAATGTTGGTATGCATCATTCTATAAACTGCTGAAATGAGTAAAATTTAATGATATTTTCTTTGACATGTTGACATCAACGAATCTCTGTTGATTTGATTACGTTACAGTTTACGTCATCATACTTAAATATTTGCAAACTTAGTTACAAGGTAATATATGTATTCAGTTTAATGTTATTGCTCATGACAACTTTACTCAATTTTGACAAGGATGATAAATTCTTGAACTGTTATCATTCATTGATTCTCGTAATATATTATCACATTGGTTTCACGAAAGGCAATAATATTCTGACATTTACAGGGACCATATTTGGATGTATAGATGCAGCTTTTAAATGTCTGTGGACTGCAGTATATGATATAAAGAATCAAAGAGCTGATACATGTGGTATGATTATAAATAACTATATAAACATTTTGCTTAATCTATCAATATACGATCTTAATTTTACATACATTTTATATTTAAATCAAGGGAAATTAAAAACGTTCTTTATATTTACTCGCTGAGGAGTAATTAAGACGCTTTGGATGCACATTTATGAAAACAGTTTCATCTATTGCAATAATTGTGTGTTGTTTGATTAAATTGTGAACAACATAAGGTTATAGCATGTCTACACGTTTCTGGCTAAATAAACGAGACTTTATTTTCCTTATGAAGCAAAATGGATGCGGTAAAAGGAGGGAGGCAATGTCCATTTAAGTTCGATACACATGTCAATTGTTTAATTTTGTTAGTGTTGATTGGTTAATGTTTTAAGGCGTATATCCAATATTTACATTTCATTCATATTGGATATAATTATGTTTATAAACTGTCCTGATTGTTAGTAAGAAAGTACAAAGTTCATACGTTGTTTTGGGGTTTTATATTCTATCTTGTTCATACTGTCATATACGAAACGCTAAAAATTTGAAGGGACTATTGAACAAGTTCTCTTGGTTTCTAAAATTAATGTGAATTGAACAAGCCATCCTATATAAAGCAAGGTATATTGCATAACAATTTTCTGTATTCACGAATAAAATATAATTGATCAGGTAGAACATATTTGATATTTAAATTATAGTGTACAGAAATGCTAACAGAACATCTGATCAATTGATGTCATTGTCAGTTCGGGTAACCTGTGATTAACATTTTAAATACATTTTCGCTATTAGACCTCACGGGCAGTTTGATAATTACTTTAGCAAAAAAATTAAATAAATTGTCAGTACTGATTCGATATGACGTAAAGATTAAGATACACTGATTGTAGACTCTCTTTCATTGACAAATGATGAAAAACACAGTGTTTTATGCATTTGGATGCCCGAGTCTACCTTTAAAGTTCTATCAAAATCCTACAAGGATAGTCGTTACAAATCAGGTTATTTGTCTTTGTAAATTTTCAAACTTTCCTGTTTAGTCCATTTTTGGTAATATCCTTTTGGCGTGGCTCGGTATTTATACATACAGCCATTGTGTCATTGTGCTATGGTCATTTTTTTGTATTCTTGTCTTTCATTTTTGCGATGTGCTTTGTCTATAGAGTGTCTACATGCCATTTTGTTTTTCTTTGTTGACATAGTTGGTTTTTTTTATAGTGATTAAGATTATCATGATTATAACACAATGTTGACTGCTGTACCCCAATTTTTGACATTTTTACCTATTATGTCCTGTTTGTTTTGCTCAAACAAAGTTGTCAATATAATGGAATTGTATGCGACTGTCATACAAGTGAGAGGTTTAGCTAGAAATAAAACCAGGTTTAATCCACCATTTTCTACATAAAGAATGCCTGTACCATGTCAGGAATATGACAGTTGTTTTCAATTCGTTTAATGTGTTGGAGCTTTTGATTTTGCCATTTGGTAAGAGACTTTCCGTTTTGAATTTTCCTTGGAGTTCGGTATATTGGTTATTTTACTTTTTAGAGCTATTATACAATTCCTACATGTAGTTGAACACAAATTTTAATTGGCTTGCTTACAAATTTTGGAATTGTCATTGTAATTAAGATTGGCACCTTAATGCAAACGAGAGGCGGAATAATAGTCTGTATATCATATATAGATATTTGATTGGACAATGACTATTATCATATTGTTTACATGAAGGCACTTGATACACATCCTTGAAAGCTTTACCTTCATTATGGAAAATAGAAAGATGAAAAGAAGCATAAGTTAAAGGGGATATGGGAAAAATAAATATCTAGTTATATATGAACCCATTTTGAAAGCTTATAATCAATGATACAAGATTTACAGTACAAGAAGATTTGATTGGGTGATTACTTTTATTTGGCATGATCATGAAAAGTCTTAGCCGTCACCTCCCCCTATATTGGTAGTTAAAACATCATCAGTTATCATCATTTTTATAAAAAATACTTTTATTTTTTTTCATTATAAAGACAAAACAAATATTGTATTTGTCAATCGCGGCGCCCACAAAAAGCAGACTAATTATTTTTAAATATGATATAAAAAATAAAATAAAAATAGACTTTAAAAAGTATAATATGATTAGTGATGATTTAATTAATTATTCAATATTACAGTACTAGTGCGGTGACAGAAGTGTAAAAAGTCGTCTAAATTTCGAGTTTAATCTCCCCAAGTAACACACGGCTAAACATGGTCTTACCTTAAAGGCAAACATGTCAATTTTATTTTCCACCCTGTCGTAATATTTCGTGTGGTCATATTTTTCTAAACAAAATCGTTTTAATGACTAGAATATATTGGAAAGTTTGCAACCCTCCTTTTTCAAATTGAAAATTTGAATATATTTTCTAACATTTAAATAATATATTTTTTGTTTTGCTATTATCATATGTCAAAATGTTTTATTCAATATTTTATTTTCACCTTAACTATGAAATTTGGAAAGTTCTGTCTGATTAAAAGTGAAGTAATTTTTACTGCAAATTCAGACACAAACTTTAGTTTCTTCTTCATAGTAGTAGTCATTACTACCTAATAATGTTTTAGGAACATATTACTTCATAAAACTTGTTCCTGATAAAAATTTCGACTGAAAGTTTGTGTCAGTCAATTTTCTGGTAAAGGGAAGTCGACTTTTGTATCTGCAATAAAAGATTGGATGAGGTTTACATCAAGGTTAAAGATGAATTTGTTTCATTTGGTAGTTGTGAATTTGAAGAATTACAGGCATTATACCATTGTTCATGCTACAGAAGTTACACCAGTAAACAAAACTGTTCCCCTTTTAAGATTGAGGAAGCTTCTGTCCTGATTTTTGATGATGACAAACAATCATCGGACTGTCGTCCATCGGTTTCGGGTGTATACATGGTTGCAGTAAAACATTTAAGAAAGATCGGAAAATCCGCAAGTTTGATTCAGATGAACGTATTTAGAATATTTTAGCCGTGGCAGAAAGCAATGACTATAATTTGAAAGTTGAAATAGTTTCTCATCCGTTTTTTAAACTTCTATCACTATATCATTATAGTTACATCATTACAAAATATTTGCTAAAAACGAAAAAAAACAAACAAAAATCTGAACCCCTGGAAGGAGAAATCACAGATCACGATACTGCTTTTACTAATTTTATATTGGCTATTGACAACGATTTAATGGTGAAAAAGCATTCCTCATAACAACGTTACTTGATAAATGTAGATCTTTCCTTCCTACTCATTCTCAGTTAAAATGTTCTACTTGGTAACTGCAGTATAAACTCATTGATTTCTATGGAAACTCAGTTATCATACAACCACAATAAGGTCAAGGAAAATCTAACATAATATTCATTAGCAACATAACTATTTGGGATGCCATATCAGCTGCTAGTCATTAAAAGCTGACCTCAAAATCTCTGAGATGCAGGCATCAATATCAACA